GTTTTGGAGAGGGTTTTGGGAGTTTTGAACGGTCTTGGAGAGATTTTGGAGAGGTTTTTACTCAAAAAAACAAAAACCGAAAGAGAAAAACACTAGGGAGGCTCCAAAAATTTGAAAACCGAAACCTATTTTTTTTGGGGTTTAGGTTACACCCCCTATAGAGCAGACTGACCGCTGAACTGACTGGGGCGCCAAGCTGCGCTGGCGAACCCTAAGCCCCAAACCCTAAACCCGAAACCCCTAAACCCTGAAACCGTAACAGCTGAACCTAAAGCCTAAACCCCTAAACCCCTAAACCGTAAACCCCTAAACCCCTAAACCCCTAAACCCCTAAACCCTGCATGCGTGCAGGAGTTCGCAGTGGATGCAGATTGGAGGAGTGCGCACTGGATGCAAAAAGAATGCGCACTGGATGCTGATTTAGGAGTGCGCACTGGACGCAAATTGGAGTGCGCACTGGATGGCCCTCCCACAGAGACAGACTTTACACCTGCTGCTTGACAAGCTTCTGGACGCTGAAGTGGTTGCTTTTTGAGGAGCAGGCTGTTAGGATGAGGTTGGTTCTGCGATGGCATGTCTCCAAACCCTGCCATGCGATTTCCTCCGAAACCATCATGTTTCAGATTTGCTGAGGTGCTTATGCGAAGTTGTGGGACAGATGCAAGGCTAGCTGGATTTGGGCACTTGCACGGGGCACGTGTACAGGACCGTGTTTCTCCACGGAGCCCTGCAATGCAAGGCGATGGGCCTGGCATTTTCTCCAGGCCCGGCAGCCAAATGTCAAGGTCTACAGACAGGCAGGACAATGCGCATTCTGGACGAGGGTGATGTTGCCCTTGCTTCTGTAGTTTGTCTCGCGCTTTCCTGGAGCCTTGCATGGAGCACGTAGCTTCTCAGCCGATGGTTAGATGGCGAGCACATGTAGCATTTGGTGCAACACAACTTGGACAGCAATTGGACGAAAATCATGCTGCAATGCAGTGTGCTAGATATTTCAGGATTCGGTTTGGAAACTCCCCAAGCCATTATGCTGACAGCGATTCATCCAATGAAAGAATCTACAAGTTCAGCCTTTCTTTCTCTCCCGGCTTGAGCTTGACCATGTTGCCATGGTCCCGGGTCTTGTGGCCTTCCTGGAGCTCGCGCGGTTGGGTGAGCACCGCCCGCAGGAGCATTTCTCAAGATTCCGTTTGTTGAGGAGGCTGGCTCCTCAGGCCTCAGGCAGTCAGACTTTGTCAGGCGGAGGCATTCTGCAGCAACTGCGGCGCCATTGAGGCCAGCAGGCTGAAAGGATGCTTCAATGCAGCTTTGATTGCCCATGTGGTGACGCAGATTCGAGAAGTCCTTGAAGATGAAGAGCTGTGCGACGAACTGGCGCAGCATCTGCAGCTGTGGCCCATCTGCAAGAATCTACAGGCGTACACCTTGCATGGAAACTCCTCACTCTTACTTGTACCAGATATTCTATGCAAACGCCATGCATCCAGATGCAGGTACACGCCTCAACTTTGATAGTGAGTCTGCGACTGCTAGGAAGCCGCTCGAAGTCAAGCGCCTCAAGTGCCTGGCTTCAGAGGTATGGACCTTACTTCATCTGACAGCGTCGCGTCTTCAGAACTCCTACTAGTATCTCGGAATCCCCGCGCATCCCTGCGCCCGTGCGCACAAGATACGGGCTGATCCTGGCTTCCAGCTGCTAGATCCTGAGGAGGTTGGGAGCATGGCAGCAGCGTGTGTTGGATTGCAAGCCACTTCAGATACTGGGGTCTAGAGACGAGATGTCAACTCTCCTTCCATCAGATTGGGTTGAGGGATCTTGCCACAGGGCTCCGTCTGTTCGGCTGATGCAAGACGGGCGGAGCCGATCAATGATGCGGATGAGGCCAATCGGTTGGTTGGGAATGCAAAGGAAGAGAGCTGATGGCTGATTGTTGACATATCTCATATCTCTTGAGGGATGTTTTGGAACAAATGCATCTTTTGCTCTGTGTAGCTGATGCCCAGCAGGCATCAAGTGCTCAGCATCGATCCTTCCGCACGAGTGGATGGAATTCTAAGCGCAGCATTAGAAGTGTCCGCGGCGGGAGAGGTGGCGGAGCAGGAGGTGCAATAGAGCGCCACTCGTCAGATGCTAATCTACGGCCAAGATCTGGGACTGCAGACTCAAGCAAATGCCATGCTAAGGGGGTGGCCGGGGCCACTACTTTGATAGCGACTTGGCCTTAAGTTGGGAGACGAGGATCCCCTATGGTCCCTCCACAAGAGAGCTTTCCTGGAAGTAGTTGTGGGCTGCACTCTGTGGTTGATGGACGGAATTCATACCCAGCGTGTGCCTCTGCTCGGTTGCTGCATCGCTCAATTGTCCGGCTGTCTTCCTTCCATCTCCCAACTAATCTTCTCAAAATCGTGCGCGCTGGCGCGCGTGCCCGCCTTGGCTGTTGGCTGCAGGGCTTGACATGGTGGCAGAGGGCTTGTTGTTGAGGGGGAGGGGAATGAACGCTTTGAAGCCCGAATGCCCTGGAGATTCATGGAGATGTGAAGTCCAATGAGTGTGGGTTTGGAGGACTCCGCGACATTCAGCGACACATGCGACCACAAATGGTAGGAGAGAAAGGGGGTTCCAAGCGCCTTGAGGCTGGATCGCCTCAAATTGAGGTTGTGCTCTCAAATATTGTGCTGTTGTGAGGTGTGGCAGAGCAAGACGTGCAGGGATATCCCGTCAGAGAGTCGCCAAAGAATCACGAAGCAAATCCATACTTCAGCCACTTGCAAGCAGGGAGTGTGTTCTACCCCATGTATTTGCTGCATGAATGAGCACTGTACGCACATGTCTACGCAACACGTTTAGATGGTTAGCGATCGCGGTGAGGCAGCCAGGTGGGCGAAACGTCGCCGGGCGAGGACCAATACCAGAGTCATGTTGCTGTTGGCTAAAGAGATGCATGAGCTGCGCGTAACTTGGGGCCAACTCCGATGCCGCCGTGTACTGGCAAGTACTACGTTAGTTAGAACCTCTGTAGGGGAAGCTCAATGCAAAGTTGTGGCAGGGACTTCACGTTGCAACAGACAAGCCGCAGACGTGATCGAAGTTGTGGCCCGTTTTTCAGGATGTATGCGCAGTCTGCGGCTCGAGAAACACAGGTCAGCCCCCGAGGAACAACACTTGAGGCTGCGATAGTTCTCGTGAACGTCGCCTCCGACTTCTGATAGAACCAGCCACATTCTGAAGGCCGTCGTTTGTGTTTTGACTGCGGGGCAGAGCGAGCGCCTGCTGCCAATGAGCCCGCAGCTGTTCTAAGAAACGGCATTCACAAAATTCAGTGTCACGGCTACAAGCATTAGCTGGTCATCGGATGATTTTGCTAAGGTTGCCTCAAGACGAGGCCGGGGTCGTGCAACGGTTGGCTTTGTGGCTGCTGCATCCTCCCCCGAGGCGATGGAGCGCTGAGTAGAGCAGGGAAGGCTCAACCAAGTGCAATCTGAGTTTAAGCAATTTAGGCTCTAAGTTTTTCACGACCTTTTAAATGCTGCGGAGGATGCCACTCGAGAGCCTTGAAAACAATTGATTTGCCAGGCAGTTGGCAAATCGCCGGCGGCTGCAATACTGCCCAAGGGAAGGCCGAGTGAAGCGTTGTCTCTCAGCATGTGAAGGAGTATTGTGCGTTCGGGCAGGATGTTTTGCAATCCTGTTTGTGAGTGCAAGCGCGGTTTTGGCATGATGCAGCAACATCTGGATGACAAAGTGTCAAACAGATATGATATAACAATATTCCTGATCCGCACTCGCTCATTCCTTTTAAGACAGCGTTTGCAGGCTTGGGCAAGCATGAGGGCCTGATTGCCGGTCTGTGGTGTGTTCTTTTGCAATCTTATTATGCTTTTGTGCGGGGTTCATTCGGCACATGGTTTAACAGGCGAAGAAGTGTCTGCAGCAGGTTGCTGTTTTTTCAAACAGCCCAATGACAACATGGGAGTTTTGCAGAAGCATCGTCTCCTTGACGACTGTGGTCAGCTATCGATTCTGCCAGTTAAGCTGCTTTGCTTTTACACCTGTGTTCAATGAGCTTCTCTTGAACAAGCCAGATTCATTCGGCAGGTTCTGCATCAGCTGTGGGTCTCAACAGCTGCCACATGCAAAGTTTTGCTCCGAATGTGGTAGCAGATTCTTGGTTGACAGGAGAGAAGTTAGAGTTTGAATCTGTAGGTCCTCCAGGCCATGCACGCAAAGCAGAAATAGAGCCTTTTCTGCAGACCGAGGAATGGACACTCCCGTTCAAAATAGTCCAGTGGATGAACCGGCCAACTATGCAGGCCAGGAAGAGTATAAATCGTTCAGAGGTCCCATTGGCATGTCTTGAACATTCAACGATGCACCGAGCGTTTGCTCTGCCAAGGCCCTGCCCTGCAAGCTGGCTCCAAACGCTCAAGTGCTCTGGCTGGAGGCTCTTTCAAAGGGAAGCGTCTTCCTTGTTCCCTGCCGTTGCCGACCTTTGCATGCAATCAAGATTCACCAGCGATCAGTACTGCACATGTATGCAACCCTCGCTGTCACACTGCTCACTCCCCCCAATCTTGCCCTCGATCACAGGGCATGGCGGACGCGGGCACCATTACTTCGATGCCCCGCAGGAGGCTAGTGGGAGCGTCATTAGCTCTCTTTTATGGAAGCTTCTTGGCAGGTCAAGGAGGAGCCCAGCCTTGCAGATCTGCGAGCTGAGGCGGGAGCTGAAGTACTCAAGGTGAAGAGTTCTAACACTCTACATATGGACCTTCAGCTGCTGTTGGACAGAGCTTGAGAGGCTCACTGAAAGGAAGAGTTCTAAAGCAAAGTGATGCAAACGCAGCAGCTTACTTTTGTTTCTTGTTCGCAGACGCCTCTGAGCCAACTACAGCTACAAACACTCGGGGGGAGCGCATTTGCTTACTTCTAGCCTGCTATGCCAGTCACAATGGCCCAACGTATTCATAGGGTTGTTAGGGTTTAGCGGTTTTAGGGTCTAGGGTTCTTAGGGCTTGCAAGTCCAAAAAATAACTCGAAGCTGGGTTGGAAAGAAACAAGAGGACAGTTGTTTTGCGACGGACAGCCAGTGGTCATAAATGCTTTCAGTGCTATGGGAAGGGCCACAGGCTTGAAACCCCTCCCCCAGCTGTCAGGAAGACCAACGGAGCTTGCAAAGAAGAAGCACTCAAGCAAGGCGCAAAAATAATGAGATTTATCAAGTCCTTGAACTCTTAGGGCAGGCCTTGGACCGATGAGGCGGTTCGAAACATGAAACAGGGTTTTCGCACCGTGAGACCAGTAGGGCACGCCTGAATTGATGCGGCGATTCAACATGTAAAGCAGGGTTCCTCAAGTGGACGAATGGGACACGCCCTGAACTGATGGGGCAATTCAACATGTAAAGCAGGACTCATCAATCCCTTGGACAGGTAGTGGACGGCACAATTCAAGATTTAAAGCATGACTCGTCAAAGCCTAGGAGTAATGTGGCACACCCGCGTTAGTCCAAAAATGCCAACACCATAGTGAAGATAGGGAGAAGTCCCGGATTAGCCTGTAAGTTACCAAAGGGCTCCCTCATACTGCTAGTGGCGGTAGTAGTAGCAGTAGGAGGAGTACCACTATTCCTTTTATAGTAGTAGAAGAAGTAAAGAAGCAAAGAGTAGTAACACCAGCACCGCCAAATATGTTGGTTTATCATTCAAAACGACTCCGCCTGCTGAACGGCAGCAGGTGGCCCCCTCAGGTTTGTGCCACTCTCTTGAGCCTGTCCCTTCCCACATCAGCCCACTTGAA